ATGCATGCAGACATGCATGATGGCACGTAGCCACGAACTTTCTGTTGTTCACTCTACTTTTGGTACGATTTCTTGTTTTTTTTTATGGGCATTAGTCCTCCTTCCGCAGCTTCTTTGCTTATTTTAAAAATAGTACTAAAACTCAATCCTGTCATAGCACTTACTTTATCGGTTAAATTTCTAACACTTTCACCACTTCTTAAGTTTAGATGATAATTAAATACATTTAAAACAATTCGTTTTGCACGGATGTCCAAGATATTCCCATGGCTTAATTTTTGAATTTCCATTTTCAATTAACATTTAACTGTAAAGTCAGTATAACAACTAAAGAACCACAAAGCCTTATATGTAGTCTCAGAGAACGACATAAAATCGCTGACATGTGCACACCGTATTATTTTAAATTGCAATTAGTAATTTGATATATGCATTCGAAGCGGTCCGTTTATTTGCTTTTAAATATTTAATAGCCGGCAAAATTCACGATTTAACTAATAAGCAATATTTCTACTGATTTCTATGATTCATGGTATATGGTATTTACTCTTACCGAAAAACAAATAAACTGTCGTTACTATAATTAAAACTATGATAAAACTAATTATTACCAAGATAAAATAAAATTATCTTTCGTAAATACTATTTATTTAATTAAAATCATTTTCCCTACTTTTCATCTGTTGTTTCGAATGGGCACGTTTGGTCAATTACATTAAAAAACATTAATTTAATTCATGTCTGTGGAAACGAAAATACAAATTACACAACCCTGAATCATGCTGGTGTTTGACGTGGCATCGTCGCGGTTCTATCGTTCATAAGAAATACATGGCCCTATCTCCGCAATGTAATTTTCTTAACGTGGAATGAAATATAGTAAGATATTTTTTCTGTAATGTCATAAAAACACTCACGGTTTCGTTTAAGTAAGAAACGGATAGGTGATATAAATATGGGCTACTAGTAAAACTATTTTTATTTTCTAATTTTTTATGTACAACATTCACACATATATTTGTCTCTTTCTGCACCATAACAATCTATATGTGCCCACAAGTTGCACATAAGGCACTGAATCCATTTTTCACCTCGATAATCCTCATAAAATTTTCCGTCACAGAAAATACAATTTACATCCGTATTTTCCGGATCCGTTACACCAGGAATCTCATCCAAATCCATATCTTCATCAGCTGGTTGAAATTCCTGCTCACTATCGTTGTCAGAGGAACTTTCGATTTCCTTTTTATGCCGTCTCTCTGACTTGTTTTTAATTTTTTTCTTAGTCACCTCCCTTGTGGACTCAGCCGTAAGGTGTCGTTTTACTGCTTGTACATTTAATTTCTTTTTGCTGGTCTAATGCTTCCTTGTAAGGTGAAGAAGTTATTACCGTTGATTTCGATGATTTTCTAACACAATTTGTAGATTTTTACCTGATCGACGGCACTGGCGATATTTCAAATGGACTTACAAACTTGTGCAAACCAGAAGGATCTGGTTCACTGATGTTGCTTGCTTCTGGTGTTTTTAGTAGGATAGCAGATTCAATAGCTTGCAGACTTACAAACTTCTGCAAACCAGAAGGACCTGGTTCACTAATGTTGCTGGCTTCTGGTGTTTTGGTAGGATATCAGATTTAATAGCTTGCAGACTTACAAACTCCTGCAAACCAAAAGGACCTGATTCACTAATGTTGCTGACTTCTGGTCTTAACACAGTCTTATTTAATGGATAAATTCCAGTGGCGCGGAATCCATTTACAGCAATTTACCCAGTTTGGCTTTTAAGGTATGATTTGCCAAAAAGTTTTCCAATATCGTACTGAGAAAGGCGCGGTTATTATGACGTAACCATTGCCTGATTTCTTCGCTATAGTATGCCTTGAGCGTTCCCATGAAAGTTTTGTCTAGCGGTTGCAGTTTGTGTGTTGAATGTGGAGGTAATGAAAATATAACTATGTTATTCTCCCTTGCCAGATTGATCACATCTAAATTGTGAGTATGGCTGTAGTATCCATCCAATATAAGAAGTACAGGAAACTCTAGAGGGTTTAACGATATCTATGAAGTGTTTAAACCACTGTAAATAAATTAGACTGCACCCAACCACTAGGATGAACGGTATCGATCCAGGAGGAGTACCTTTCATGAGTTGCACATTCATATTCTTTCTGGGGAAGTCTGTGGGATAAAATTCCCTCCAGCACTCATACATGTAATTAAAGTGATCAATGATCCTCTCTCAGCCGAGGTCAGCGATGCGATTTGTCTTTTTCCTTTGCCCCCAGTATTTTTGCAATTTTATTTTGCACAATGGTTAGGCCTGATTCATCTACGTTGTAAACCTGATTACTGGAAAAATTGTATTTATCATATGCTTTTTCCAAATGATTAAAAAATATTTGACCATTTTAATCCATTTGATTCAGCCAGATTAAATGTCATTCGTTTGATATCAGTCCGCGTTAAACCATAGAATTTCGGTTCCATTTGAAGGATATATATAGTCCACCAAACATTTTTCTAAATCTTGGACAAGAATAGTTCCTCTTCCCAGTTTCTTAAGTACTGCTCATCTGGAGTTCAGTCATTTTTGCTAATCGTTGTACTGTCGATCTTGGGAGATTATCAGTTTTAGCTGCTTTTAATGTATCCATCGTTTTATCTCTCACAGCTTGAATAGCAGATTTCATGCTATCTGGATCCCAGGACTTTCGTTGTTTTGGACTTACCATACTTTTTCTAGGCATTCTGAAAAGAAAAAAACCCTGTAGACTAAACTGATGATAGCTCATATTTGTAGCACCACGTTAGCCCATATTAGCCCAACATAATCAAACATATATTCAAATATTAATAACTAAAATGCAACACAAATTAAAAGAAAAAGTCGAAAATATGAAAATATCAGCCTTTCGCTTACGATGTGATAAAATATTAAATTTATTCTTAGTTTTCACCGAAAAAAAATTGAAATAAAAACATACCTGAAAAATTTCTTGAACAGCGTCAACACTAACATGTGATTGTTTCAACGGTCACTGTAAACTTTATTAGTTATTATTTTAGACTAAAGAGTGTCTAGTTAAGCTGTTGACGTATAGATGGTGGTGTGGATTTCATATTAATTGCGATAGCCCATATTTGTACCTTCTAAATCATTATCATCATCTTTGGCTCGACAATCCTTTGTGGATTTTGGTCTGCTCTAAGATTCGTCGCCATTTTGTTCGGTTTCTAGCGATCTGTTGCGATTTTCTGATTTTTAATATTCCTAAGTCTTTTTTAACTTCCATCTAGTCACCTAATCCGCGGTCGGCCTCTGCTTTTTCTTCCTACAGGTGTTCCTGTGGTTAGCATTTTAGGGATCGGCGGCTATTCTCCTTAATATTATTTCACAATTATATCCCTTTGGTAGACACGTGACAATATTTTTGTGTTTTCGTCGCTGAGCACTGATTCGATTAAATCTTTTAAGTTAAAACTCTTAAGCTAACTTCTGCTTAACACATGTTCCTAATTGTTACATATTTCTGAGATTTATTTTGAAGAGCCAATAATATTACTGATTTTTACACCTTTACCCGAAATTAATCATCCTGAGATTAGAAACAAAGATATTTGATATCAAAACGTTTGCTCATCAAGATCTAGTAGATGATTTCCACACCTTCAATCGAAACTGCTGAACGACGTTGTTTTTAGCTTTGGAGGAAATTTTTCGTGTTAATACCATGGATCCAAAAGATGGCTGTACATTATTAATCAACTTATTATACTATAAATAGGTTACTCTAAACTTTAAAAAACTATTCAGAGACCAGGACAGACGCAGCTGTGCCGAAATATAAAAACCTCAGCACTTGAGCACGGATTTGAAACCAGAATGCCCTCTAATTTATCTAATGACAGGAGATGACAAGGTCATTCAATATATGAAATATTAGTAGTGTAAAGGCGGAAATACACCATTTAATTCGGTTGAACAATGTGGATGATTCGAAACGTACGTACGAAACTTATTATATCACAAGTCAAAATGAAATAAACGGTTGAATCGAACAAAATCAACAAAACTTGTATAGACGCACTAATGTGGATGAATCATCCCAGTTGTACAACGAAGTTGAACAAAAGGAGAAATTGGCTCAACTCATTTCAATGTTTAATTTGGTTGAACGCTTTTATTGAATTTCAAAATACATGGTTCATTTTGGTTGAATCATCCATATTGTTCAACCGAATTGAATAGTGTACTTCCCCTTTCAGACTTAAAAAAGTTATTCGAACATCGAAAGTCAACAAGTTCTTGATTGTATGGCCTTCGCTAGGGAACATTTGCCTGCCTGGAAGAACTTTATAATGAATTGTATATCAGTATCTTTGTTAAAACACATAGAATAAGATGGATGGCTCTTGCGATAAAAATGGATGAAATGCAGATGCTTGAGATGGTCTTAAATATAGGATTAATCTCTAAAAAGTTTAAGACTAAGATTGATTGAATAGAAATATAATTGCTTGACTGGAGAAAAAGAACTCTAGTGGAAAGAAGGAGAATAGTTCACAAGTTTAATGGAAATATACAAGAAATTTGTTATCCACTTAATCTGCATAAAATCTGGAGCAGTTTTAATAATACACTTAAAGGAAAACGCGCTAATAAATTTAATAGTCTCAAACATCCTTCACCCTCTCTAATCCTGCTAATCGTTTTCCACCAGGTTTCTTTCCCTCATTTTTCCATGTTATTTTATCCGTCCGAGGTTTTTTCTACTTGATTATATTTCCGTGTGCCCATACCATGTAAGTGGTCGGGTTTTATTCTATCGGTAATTTTTTCCGTTACCCCCATCTGTTGTCTAATGTCTTCATTTCTTCTATGGTGCAACTTTGACATTCTCTCCGCTCCTCTAGGGAATTGCACTTCCACGGTTTCAATGTTTTGCTTATTGGTCTTGCATCTATTTTCATTTTTGTTATGATGAAATAACAAAATATAGTGTAAAAATGCATTTAATAAAATATAAATCACAGCTGTTGAAAAATTATAAATAAATATAAAAAATTTAAAAATATGTTTCACCACCTCCAATTATCTACTCTGGATTTCCTGAGCGCTTCCAAAGACTTTTCGGCTCGAATTCGGGCTTCTGAGTGTATTCTGAGACTACCTCCTCGACATCCTTCTTGTACTACGGAATCATGCTGAACGGCTCCAGAAACACCTAATGAAAAAAAAGCGCTTTTTAAACAATACAACTGACGAAACTATTATCAGAATTTGATAAATTATGCATGTGACATTTTTCTACAACTTTGCACAAAATAAATAGCTAATGAAAAATAATGTCATATTCAGACTTAGGATCATTGATTTATAAAAATGATTGTGTGATGGTGATACTACATCTCGAAAACCTCTGTACGTTTGCATGTTGATTCCGTAAGAGTTCCTACCTCCCCACGTTGTTGTGTCACATTCCCTAGATTGCGACCTTGTGCTTCAGCGAAGTCGAGAATTCATTTCTTCAACACCGAATATTCGACGCACCATTTCTATCGATGCAGTGATATTCTAGTCGCCGGTAAGCTGTTTCACAACATTGCCTTCCCCTTATATAAGTCCGCCGAGGCGGTCGTTCATTATTAGTATTGGTGAATTGTTTTACAAGCGATATCAGGGCTAGTTGTAAGCGATAATTATGAATGCAGTTAGAATTTGTGATTCAGTGAGTTGTTGGAATTAAATAAAGTGAGTTAAACCAAGTCGTGCTTCACTTAATTTCTGAATCCTCACAAACACGTAACAATGTGTTGAAAGTAAGCATCATTGTACTACGAAAACCTTGTCTGGACATCTAGGTGCATGTTACATAACACACTTTAATACAATCCACGTAATATAACTTATGTAGTGAATAACTTACCTTTTTTATGAAACAGTTTTCCCAGGATAAAATCATCCGGTTCTGCACTTTCAACTGCCCCTTCTTTACTTTTCTTCTTCTTTTTAATCTCTACTTTGACCAATCCTTCTACATGTTGACCATCAACTTTTCCAGACGTATTTACAGTCTTATCCTTTTTCTTGAACTTGTCTATCAATTTGTCGGGTTCCTTAGTTACATTTAGTTTGGCCGTTTTCGCTTTCTCTGCAATTTTAGCTAGTTCTTTGGTTTGTTTCAGTTGGTTATGCAGCTCAGCAGTCTTCTCGGAATATTGTAATGCGTCTAAAATACGAAAATCAAAAGTATTGAATATATTAATTTCGTTAATGCAAATACTACTTTTCTGTTTCTTTATCACACCGAATGATACATGATTTATTATAATAAAAAGTCATAAAAACAAGTACATCTAAATAAGTTGGCCGCCTTTGAATTTTGGTGTTACAGAAGAATCCTACGAATATCATGAACTCAACGAATATCAAACGCAGCATAGCCATGGTGATTTCCAACCTTCGATAAAAGATGAAACTTAAAGAAGAAGAATAGAAAAATATGCAACGTTGGAAGTTTAAAAAGTGAACATAATATTAGCAGACTTTACAAGACATCAAAAGTACTTATTGCTGGTTTCAAATGCAGTGGCGAGAATTTCTCGGAACTATAAGGCCTATACTAACGAAGCAGTGGCGTTCCACATCTAAAATAGGTCAAATTGTTACTGATACCAAACCCCTTCCATATTTAAAAAGTTTAGGGCAGATAAATCATCTTATTTTTGTCACTTAATCTTTAAGGGAAAATATGTATGAATGTTTGGCTTGTCTTGCGGTTGGAGCAAGTGCAGTTGTCCACACCCATTTCCCATGGCTGAACGGACGGCGCTGACAGCAGACGCGCAGCTGCAGAGACAACCAAAAGATAGCGATGAGAAGTTTAACAATGTAGATGTAGAATCAACCAAGCAATTTGTCGTAACAGGTATCATAGGTGTGGTTCAAAATAATTAGGAGAGGTAACTGAATGTTATACAGCCAATAACTAAATCAAGTTTATAAAAAAAGCTTACCAATATTACCGTTATATACACTGGCGGTATTCATATAAGTAGGTTTCATACGTGCCGGTGGTTTCTCGTACGAGTTTTGTCTTTAGCTGATTAGCGGTGTTTGTCTACAAAAAATTGGCGGTATTTTTCACTGCATACACGATACTGTTCCTTTGTGAGTAGTGATTCGCTAAAAGCGGTGGAAAAGCGACTGTTGGTTACGGCAACCAAACTAAGATAGCGCAAAAAGTACGTCTGTTGTCCGCGGAAACCAATATCAGAGAGACGAAAAACACGTCAGTTCTATACGGGAACAATAATCAGAGAGAGGGAGAGAGAGGGAGAGATTTCGTTTGCATTGTCCACGGATGTCTGTACTTGGTTAGGAGTAAAAATAGATAGGAGCAATTATTACTAAGGAATGGCTTAGGTAATGATTTGAAATTAAGGGGGCGTAAACTACTGAACACACATTATTCTTGCATGTCCAAACAATTTTCTAGAAAGACTGTATGATGATAGGTAATATGTCGTATAAAAAATTGTGACTTACCCGAAAAACTGACAATAGCATCTCGATCATCGATTTTATTTATAGAAGTATTCTCCACCTGCTTTTCTTTCTCTTTATTGTACTTATGTAATTCCCCGGTTTCCAAAGTTTTCAGCTCTTGGCGCTTTTCTTCTTTTTCCGCTCTCTCGGCTTCCAATTCCATTTGCATAATCGTTGGTTTTTTATTAAGGCTTTTAGCTATTTGTTGTGCTAAATTTTTCATTTGTTGGATTTTGTCTTCCGTAAAACAAGATTCGGCATCAGTTGGTGCTTTCTTTCGTTTTTTCTTCTTCGATTCCTTCAATCTATCTTGAATTCTAACCTAAAATTAATAGTTACTATAAATATTACAGATCTGGAAGAGACTTCTCTGAATATTATATAGGCAATACTTGAAATATGTGAAACAAAATAACAATATAGCTTACTCTGGAATTATGAAAGATATTGACTGTTTCCGGATTTGCATCTACTGATTCCTGTAGCGAAAATAAATCAAACAAATCCGACGATCTAAAAAATCTGTTAGTTTTAGGATCTAATAGAATTTTATTGCTCAGAAGCTGTTTCCATACTTGTCGCTGATACATCTGCAAAAAATAAATAGAAACTTTAAACAAATTCAGGGAAAATAAATTATATAAATATTTCTCAGATAATTCTTAACACACGATTGAGCATTTTTGTTTCTACCTTCAGACTTACAACCATCCTTTTGGAACGTGAAGGATCATTTGTCAAGTGAATAATTCAAACAGATTTTCAGAAGCAAAAGTCTATGCATCGCAGTTTAGGCGTTAACATTAAGAAAACTTAATGCAAGATACATGCCAGTTATTTGCTGAGGAAAACAATTTCAAAACTTTACCAAATAAATTATTGCATACTTATAAATTACCTTTTCTTCAATAGTTCCAGCAGTTAGCAATCTGTAAATAGTAACTTGTTTATCTTGTCCTATCCTCCAAGCTCTCTCCCGAGCCTGGGTATCGGTAGCTGGATTCCAGTCTGGATCGTAGATGATAACCCTATTGGCACCGGTCAGGTTAACACCTAAGCCGCCAACACGGGTTGTTAGTAAGAACACATCATAAGTGATATCCTGAAATATTGTTTTATTAAATAGAATCTAAATTTAACGGTTAAGAGAAGAAATTTATAATAGAAATATTAAGAAAATATCTCTTAATTCTTTTTGAGTGAAAATAACTCTTTCATAAGTAAGAAATAACTTTTATCTGTATAACTCCTAATAGATTTTCAACGAAAACAATAACAGCACTACAGGCCTTAGAGGCCCTTGACTTCGATAGTCTTAACTAGTGTCTTCTACTTTTTCCGTCTTTCACTTGTTCTCTCCAGTCCCTTATACCCATTTCTTCTTTTTTTCTGCTTGCAGAACTCTTTTAGGGCGTTTCTTTATTTTGGCATTCGTAAAACATGTTCCAACCACCTAATTCTCGTGCCCTGATTTTCTGTGTTATTTTTAGGTCTCTTATACATCTTCTCCATTAGCTCCTTGTTGCTGGTGCCATTCTCATTTAGTCTCCTTTATCCCACCAAAAACTTTTCTCAGGATTTTCCTCTCCCAAAGCTCTAATTTCTTTTTTTATTTCTGATTCACTGTCCAAGTTTCTCATGTATACAACACCGTTGGATCCCCACTATTATTTCATAAGTACGAAACTTGGCTGCCCTGGGCACGTTTTTGCCTTCAGGTACATCTATGTACTCGCGAATACGATAACTTCTACAATATTTGCAGTGAAAATAATTACTTTTGGAGTGTTATTGCCGAAAAAAAATTGTTTTCATCTGCGTGCCAGCGAAGACTATACATAGACTATACACGAACAGATTAAACTTTCTTTGTTGTTGATAGTGTCATCATCATCATCTTCATCACAGTCATTAACATCTTAGTAGATGTGTTGTGGTTCATAATTGGGTTTCAGCAGCTCGGACAGTTTGATTGATAATATTTCTCCACTGGTCGCGGTCATCAGTTATATGTATTGCCTCAGTATACTGTTTATTGAGAAGCTTTTTAGTAATGTCCGCCCATCGCTGTGGAGATCTTCCGCGTTGGCGTTGAGTCTGAGGCCTTCCTTGGACCACCAACCGCTCCATTTTGTGATCACTTCGATGGATATGGCCAAAGAACTTTAAAATTCTAGAGTAAACGGTACTGGAGAGACGCTGATCCGGTTTAATTTCATCCAGAACCGAGATATTTGTACGGCGAGCCGTCCATGGAATTCGAAGCAGGCGTCTCCATGTCCACATTTCAAAGGCGTCTATACGTCGTCGATCTGATTCTTTGACTGTCCATGTCTCGCATGCATAGTAAAATATGGAAAAGACTAGAGTTGAAACGAGTCTCTTTTTGTTTGTCATAGTAATGTGACGATCACGCCAGACCCCGTTTAGTTCACTCATTGCTGCTCTTGCTAGTTGAATGCGTCTTCTAATTTCGGATTCACAACTGCCTGTGTTGTTAACTAGAGCTCCAAGATATATCATAGATGAGACTACCTCGCATCCCGCAATAGTTTGGGTTTCAGGAAACTGTTGTTCTTCTTCTTCAAGTGCCATCTTCGTTCCGAAGGTTGGCGATCATCAGGGCTATACGTATTTTCGAAACTGCTGACCGAAACAATTCGTTGTTGCTACAACTATACCATTCCCGTAGATTCTTTAGCCAGGAGTTTCGTCTTCTTCCTATGGACCTTTTTCCTGCTATTTTCCCTTGCATAATTATTCGAAGCAGTTCATATCTTTCGCCTCTTGTAATGTGGCCCAAGTATTGCAGTTTTCGTTTTTTGATTGTAAATATGACTTCCTTTTCTTTGTTCATTCTTCTCAAGACCTCGACATTTGTGACTCTCTCGGTCCATGATATTCTCAGGATTCTGCGATACATCCACAGTTCAAATGCCTCTAATTTTTTGGTATCAATCTTTTTTAACGTCCATGACTCCATTCCGTAAAACAGCACAGAAAGTACGTAACATCTCATCAGGCGAAGTTTCATTTCAAGGCTCAAATCTCTTCCGCAGAACACTCTCTTCATTTTAGTGAATATGGATCTGGCTTTTTCTATTCTTATTTTGATTTCCGCTGAGCTATCGTTGTCTTCATTTATAAAAGTGCCTAAATATTTGTATTTGCTAACTCGATCGATAATTTCATTGTGTAAATATAAATTTTGGACATTTTGTGTTGATTTCGATATTACCATAAATTTCGTTTTCTTTATGTTCAAAGATAGTCCATATTCTTCGCTGCAGTCTGCTATCTTATTCACCAATGTCTGTAGCTCTTCAAGTGTTTCTGCGATCAGAACGGTGTCGTCGGCAAATCTCAGATTGTTTAATCTAACACCATTTATTTTAATACCTACGGATTGCTCAGAGAGTGTTCTATTCATTACGTCTTCGGAATAGAGATTAAACAGGGTTGGTGACAGTATACACCCTTGTCTCACACCTCGCTTTATTTCAATTTCTTCAGTGGTATTATTCTCTACTCTCACTACTGCTTTCTGATTGTAGTACATATTTGCTATTAGTCGGATGTCTCGTTTATCTAAATTCTTTTCTGTCAGGAGTCTGATTAGGTGATCATGCCGCACTTTATCAAAGGCCTTGTTGTAATCTATGAAACACATGAATACATCTTGATTTATGTCAAGACATCTTTGAGACATAACGTTCAGTGCAAACAACGCCTCTCTTGTTCCGAGTCCATTTCGGAATCCAAACTGGGTATTATTGATGTCCAGTTCCAGTTTTGTGTGTACTCTAGAGTGTATAATTTTCAGGAATATTTTCAGTACATGGCTCATCAGACTGATTGTACGGTAATCACTACATTGTTTGGCATTTATCTTTTTTGGTATAATAACAAAGGTGGATAAAAGCCATTCTTGTGGTATTTTTCCTGATGTATAAATGCTATTGAAAAGTTCAACTAAAATGCGAATCGAGTCTTTTTCTATTAGTTTAAGGATTTCCGTTGGTATTTCATCTGGACCTGGGGCTTTACCATTTTTCATTCTTTTTAGTGCGTACATTACTTCCTCTTCCGTTATTTCTGGACCTTCGTCTCCTTGTATGTTACTTAGCTCAGATTGCTGTCTATCATCTGCAAAGAGTTCTTCAATATAGTTTTTCCATGTCTTCAACTGTTCTTCTAGTTCTGTTATTATGTTTCCGTTGACATTATACAGGGTATTTGGCTGCTTACGTTTTTGTGTACCTGCAAGTTCTTTCACTTTTTTATGTACATTAAAAATATCATGTTTTGCCTGCAATTGCTCTATTTCTTCACATTTTCTTTTATAAAAATCTTCTTTTGCTATTCTGATTTCTATTTTAATTTCTTTCTGTAGTTGTTTATACCTTTGTTCGTTTTTTCCTTTCATTATTCTCCGGTTGTCCATGAGAAGAAGGATCTTATCAGTCATCCAACTTTGCTTTATTTTTGGTTTTTCTTTAGTCAAAATTTTCTTCGCAGGGCCTGTTATTGCCATTTTTACGTTTTGCCATTTTTTATCTATGTTGTTCGTTGGCTGGGATGTTTCCTTTTCATGAAGTATTTTCAAATTATTATTAATACATTTTTGCAGTTTCTCCTTTACCTCCAGGTTACATAAATGACTGACGTCTATCTGATTTGTTCTTCTTTTCTGCTCCAATCTTTTTAGTTTAATATTCATTTGCGCTATTAGAGGGTTATGGTCTGAAAAGACATCTGCGCCTGGGTAAGCTTTAACGGATTTTAAGGAGTTTCTGTATCGTTCGTTTATCAGTAAAAAATCAATCTGGTTTCGAATTATTCTTTCGCCATTGTCCTGGGGTGATTTCCACGTATAGAGTCTTCTCTTTGGTAAGTTGAAGAATGTATTAGATACAATCATGTTATTCTCCTGGCAGAATTGAAGTAGTCTGTCACCTCGTTCATTTCTTTTACCGAGTCCGTATTCTCCTACATGTTTGCCACTTTTTCCTTTGCCAATTTTTGAGTTAAAATCACCTAGAATTACGGTGATGTCTCGTGGTTTCGTCGATTTTAATACTTTATTGATTTCTTCGTAGAATTGTTCAATTTCGTCCTCGGATTTATCTGCAGTAGGTGCATAGATCTGTATGATATTTAGTTTACTTGTGTTTGTTTGTAGTTGGAGAAATAAGAGCCGATCTGATACTGGAGTAAAATTAATGACCGACTGCATCATAGACTTAGATACGAAAACTGCTACGCCGTGTCTGTGTTGAGTACTACTGTTTCCGGAGTAATATACCATGCCATTTGTTGTCGAAAAACTGCCAGAATTTGGCCACCTTGCCTCACTAATGCCTAGAATGTCGACATTTAATCTTTGCATTTCTTGTATTATATTATGCATTTTGCCTGGATCATACATACTTCTAACATTCCATGTACCAATTTTTAATACTCTCTTGGGTGTTTTCCTATTTTTTTTAAGAGTGGTATTTACTACTTCACAGGGATTTTGCTGGTTGACGACCCGGGAGGCCCTGTGGTCTTCTTGTGATATACCTCCCATGCCGGATCCTGGTCTCCGATTCCCATGATCAGTGGTTGACGAGGCTATTTGTTGTACAGTCATGATGATCGTACTAGAGATATCCATGATGGATTGTTGATGAAACTGTTGTTGGCGATCAATAACCATGATTTTGGTTTTGTTGTAGTTAACCATGAGTCCAAATTTAGCACTTTCTACCTCGAGTTTTTTTAATAATTTAATAATTTCTTCTGGAGTAGAGGCTAGAAGTGTAGTGTCGTCTGCGAAACGCAAGTTAGATATCTTAACACCACCTAGGTTTACTCCTCCCTCCCAACCATCCAAAACTCTGCGCATTATGAACTCCGAATAGATGTTAAATAATAAGGGAGATAAAACGCATCCTTGGCGTACTCCCTTCTCCAAAGTGCATTTGTCAGACAGATATCCGTCCATTCGAATATATGCCAGGTTATCTTGATACAGTTTGCTAATAAGGTGAGTCAAGTGTTTAGGTACACCCATTGTCGTCAATATGTTCCATAGTTTGTTCCATCTAACATTATCAAAGGCCTTTGTATAATCGACGAAACATATAAATATCGGGATCTGGTATTCTCTGGCTTTTTCTATGATGTTTCGTACATTAAGGATTTGTTCTCTAGTACCTCTGCCCTTTACAAATCCAGCCTGCTCAGGTGCTATTTGCCAACTTATGAAGTTTTCTAGACGCCGTTGCAGTATGTAGAGGATCACCTTACTGGCGTGTGATATTAGAGCTAATAGCCTGTAGTTGTTACAATTATTTGTTGAACCTTTCTTATGAAGAGGTATGATTATGGTCTTTATCCAATCCTCAGGCCAGACGCCTGTGTACCATATTTCATTGCACAATCGATGTAATCTTTTCACTCCACATTCCGGAAGATGCTTCAAGACGTCTGCAGTAATGAGATCATATCCTGCTGCTTTGTTTAACTTAAGTCTTTTTAAAGCGAATTCCACCTCGGAAAAAAGTATGTCAGGTTCAGACTCAAAACTAGTGTGGTGTGTCTCTGTTGAAGGAGAATGGAAAGTGGAGGTCTGGCAGTCAGGTACAAACGGGGCGTCCGCTGGCATCTGGTCCGTATTGGCGTATAAAGACTTACAATACGCCCTCCAAACATCAATAACCTTGTCCAAATCCGTCTGTACATTACCTTCATCATCTTTGATAGACCAAGATTTCTGCTTGAATTTACGTGTGAGTTGTCTGACTTTATCAAAGAGTTCTTTGGTGTTATTTGTGTCGGCGTGTAGTTGAATTTCTCTGCAGATTTTCTCTATATGCTTGTTTTTGTCTCGTCTACAAGCAGCCTGAATAGCTCTAGATAGCTGTCGGTACTGGGAATTCCTGAGAGGGTTCTCGATTCCAGCAATGTTAAGTTTTCTACGTTCTTCAACGAGGTCAAAAGTATCTGCAGACATCCACACTTTTTTTGGTCCGGTTGAGACGGCATTAGACTGTGCCTCGCAGTCAGTCAAGGTCTGTATCAAGGTATTTTTAAAAGATAACCAAATCTTTTCGGAATCATGAGTGACGATAGTTGGTAAAATATTTTCGAATCTTTCATTACATTGGATTTTAAATTGTTGTGTATCTTTTTTTTTATATCCTCTTGTTTCGGATCCTAGCACATGCCTTGAATTTTTGCTTTAGCGTTGCAACAAGAAGTTGGTGGTCAGAGCCGCAGTCAGCGCTAGGTCGTGTTTTACATTGGCTAATAGATGTTTTCCAGCGATGTTTAATCATTATGTAATCGATCTCATTTCGGTGTCGTCGGTTAGGTGAGATCAAAGTGTACAATCTTCTGGGGTGGTGCCTATACATAGAGTTCATAATTGTCAAGTCATTATCAACGCAGAACTGGATAAGGCGATCTCCCCTTGAATTGCGTTCACCTATTCCATATCTACCCACATATGTTCGTCAGCCATAGTAACACCGATTTTTGAGTTTAAATCACCCATGATGATAGCGATTTCTTTATTTGGGATATTTTGCAGATATGATTCCAGCTAGTTGAAAAAAGATTCAGTTGTATCATCATCAGCAGTTGAGGTAGGCGCATAGACCTGAATCAAATGTACAATAGAGGGAGATCCATTTAGTTTTAAGAAAATTATACGATCACTGATAGCTTGATATCCCAGTATATAAGGAGAAAGAGATTTTGAAACCCAGAAGCCAACACCATTGATACTTTTGTTAGTGTTGCCGGAAAAGCACATGAAATGTCCCAAATTAGTTATGTAGTGCCCCTCGTTGCGGAAGTGAAGCTCAGAGAGCCCGGCCACAGAGATATTGGTTCGTTCCAGTTCCTTCTCCAGAATAGCTTATTTGCCCGGTTGTAAAAGACCACGGACATTCCATGTAGCTATGTTGTATGGTTTGCGGTTATTAAGTTTTTGTTTTTCACCAGTAGCACATTTCGCATGTAAAGCCTGAAGAGTCACGTCTACATGCCCGGTAACTGATTTCACACATTCCTCTCCGGACGAGAAGATGCGCCGGGTGCCATCCGGATCGCGAAGCTCATCATCCGAGGCCTCGCAGCTATTGCTCATATCATGAACTTTCGTGGGTGAAATAAAGGGGTGGTTTCCCGTTGCCTTCCCCTTTGGTTGGGAGTGCTAATAAGGAAATTTGTTTAAACAGGGTTAGTAGGAAAGGACAGTGGTATCTACTGTTTGGACTTAGTAGATATACCAAGGCTCGCGTGGGCAGGGTCGCATACCTGAAGTAGGACTATCACCTATTGGGTTTATAGACGAGTCTCTACCCGCTACCCTGAGGAAATTAGGAGTGTGTGAATGGGGAGAGGCGCAAGTTACGCAGTTTGTGTGTGGGGTGCGCGACATGTATATGATATATACATGTCGCGCACCCAACAGTCAACATGATATATACATGTTGATAGTGTACCATTGGTGATATACATAAGATTTCATAATGACGGAAGGAACATGAATTTTTGAAGGGATCTTGCAATTTGGTGCATCACGATTGTAACATTACCAGTTTTTTTTTTTAATCACGTAGACTTCTAAACTACATCCATTTTACATATTCCCAATTGTCAACAGACGCACGTGAAAGTCAAACAGGGTCGTACTGATTTGTATCATGTGATATATTTACTTCTGAAACTATTAGTGTAAGAATTTCTCGAAATTTACTCATTAAATCACGATTAAACTAAACTCTTAAAAATAACACGACCAGTAAATAACTTAACAACTATAACATACATATAACACACAATATATTAACTTAAAAACCAACACGATACAATTTGAATTTAAACAGACTGGCAAGTTTGGATCTGTAACATGAGAATCTGTCTGGCTTAAGGCAATAAATTATATTTAATAGCCTCTTGACGAATGAGAGGGCGAATATCAACACGTGCGTATGTTTACAGATGGGAATTTGCTAAACGAATAAACTTTACTACCATCATTTCAACGAGTAGGTGATATATTTTCTTGTGAGTTTTATTTAGGAACATGTTACTTCGGTAAACGGAATTTAAATAGAAGTCACTACTTGTGAAAGGAAAAATGTTTAGTTCGCTTAAAAAAAATTGCATACATAACAATTTCACGTATTTTTCCAAGTAACATAAAAGTAAAATTTTTTACAGAAATTAAGGAAAATTATACTAACCATATTGAATTTCTCAATTAACGGCTGTCTACTTCCGATGGAAGTGGTTCCATCCATTTTCAGGTACTTGTAGCCTTGTTGTTCTAAAAAATCTTGGAATATAGTGATCATCGACCTCCCTTGGGTGAAAAGTAACACCCGATGTCCTTGCTTCTTCCATATTTTTAACAAAGCGGAGACCACGATCATTTTACCAGACTTTTTGTAGAAACCGAAAGATTTTCCACCCTTAGAACTTCCTGGATCCTAAAAAGATTATTTCTTCAACATAAAATAAAACAAAAATGATTAGGTGATTATGAGGGACTTGGAGGACTAAATATATAGGGTAGATCTCCAAGAATTAATGAAAATTAAATAGATACATCTTGGCCCGCAACAAAAATTTAATTCGTGTTTCTACCACTGTTCATAATCCAAGAGTTAAATAATTTTGAGCACATATGCACGTTTTATTATATTACATTTAATTTTCAATGAACTAACCTCAGAATTATCATTGTCGTCAATAGTTTCAGAAAGGAATATATCAGGGTGATTGCATATTTTTCGGAGCTTTGTGATTGCAACAAACACTCTGGCTCGTATCTGTTTGTCTGCAGACCAGTTTTTAACTCCTTTCCCCAGTATATGACTGATATCATCGCCCTAAAAACATAAAATATAATTTAGCCAAAAAAATTAACCACAAAAATAATTATTGCTCTCAGTATAGGGGTATATCGAGGGTAACAACTTTAAGAATTGAAAATATATCACACAAATGAAATGGTTTAAGTTGAAGAAGAGTTGAAAACCTCCTGCTTATATTTAAACGAAGGATCCTGAGAAGAATATTCGGTGGGATATGAGAAAATGGTGTTTGGAGAAGGAGGTACAACTATAAGATATATCACAGATATGAATATATATTTGGTGGTAAAGACGTAGTATCTCTTATAAAAATAGGAAGACTAAGATGGGCAGGACATCTGGCAAGATCACAGCAGAACAACCTTCAGTTGGGGAGTACAAGTAGGGGTAGGCCAAAACTCAAATGGAGGGATGGAGTAGATGAGAATTGTAGAAAATAGGCGCAGCAAACTGGCAACAGTTAGCAATGGATAGAACTGACTGGCGTAATAGACTTGGGAAGGTCGAGGCTCTTTTATAGGGCTGTAGCACCAATGATGATGATGATGATGACATTAAAAGACAACCCTTTTGTATAGTCGGCACGTAATTTCGTGAGAAAATTTACAGAGACCAAAGCAAGCAAAATACTAGTAAAATGGCAACGCTGTTAGAGTTACCACTACTTTATTGTAGTACATAGTAGTAGAACAGTTGCGTAGATATGTAATTTTAAATTAAATACAAGTTTTTACTTTTATTTAATTTTATTTACCAAAAAGTTTCATTTTCTATAAAGTTTAAATAAAAAATATCAGTATCTTTAACTTCTGTGATATATCTTGAGAGTGATAACACTAATCGACTCGACTGAACAGAACTCATTGTAAAATAATAATATCTATATAAACATTGTTAATAATAGTAGTTATTCAGCAGGAATGACAGTTTCAGTTGACATACTCCCCTAAAACATTAATAATTTTTGTCCTATCAAGAAGTGTGTTTATACCCTGTTTTCAAAGATATATAAGCAAAATGAGAATATCTAGAATTAAAATAGAAATAAAGGTTTGAACTAACACCTAATAAGTACTTTCTATCTACTCAGAATCACTGTTATCACTAGTACCACTCGTATCATCTAAATTTATAGGTAATTTGGTTAATGCTGGTAAATATTGAACATAGTCATTTTCCACTCCGATCACATGTTTTATTTTTATTACATTTTTCCAGTTGGTTGCTGTAATTTTTGTGACTTCTCTTCTAATTAACTGGAGAACAGTAGACAAAAAATTTTGGAGCAACGTTTCTTCTCATTATATTTCCTTTAAGTTGAGCCCATATTAACTCTATTGGGTTCAATGTACAATAATAAGGAGGAAGTCATAAACACAGTATGCCCGTTACTACGAGCACAGTTGTCAACAACATATTCCTTTTCGTACTGTTTACTATGAACAACCTCCAACAATTGCTTTTTAATATAAGATGTCTCAAAATACAAATCTTCCGTGAAAACTGCTGAATTTTTAATTTATTCCAACTATTATTTCAAGTTTTTTTCATTAATCTTGAATGATATGATGCGTTGTCCATGATAATCACACTATCTTTAAGTAATTTCGGAAGAAGACATTTTTCAAACCATGATTCAAAAATTGAACTTTCCATATCGTCATGATAATCCAGAGACGCGTTTTTAATTTGTTTTGCAGATATTAATAATGCATCGTCGACCCATCCATTTTCCCAAAATTATAATCATCTTTCCTTTACTGGGCGGTACTGAGTTGAAACACTTTTTGTTATTATTTGTCCAACTTTTTTTCACGGTGTCATGAGTATCATACCAGGTCTCATCTAAATAAACAATATTTCGTTTCATTTTTCGATACTCAGTTATCTGTCTGATATAATTGTTTCTTAAATAAATCATTCTAGTACCTACTTTCCATTAATGTCTGTCTCTTGTCCATAGTTTTATACTTAAAATTATTGGCTTTAAGAAATAATCGAAGTGTTGTTGCTGAACACGAGAGAATGCACTTTCGAACTAATTCACTTCGAAGGCTTTCAATAGTTGGAAAAATATTAGCCGCATACATTTGGTATATTGTTCTAGTTATAGATTCAATTAAGTGCGGTTCTATTTTTCTGAATTTGCCAAAATCCTTTCTCTTCTGTCTAGAAGAAGATGTTTCTTCTATAATTTTGTAGCAGGTTGCTTTGGGCACTCTGGATAAAAAACATGTTTCTGCAATTGCCTCTGATTTAGACAATTCAGCACACAGTCCTTCATAAACATTTTTTAGCATATGTTTGGCATCATCAGAAAGGTATTGAAAATGTCGCTTACGTTTTACTACACGCCTTTGTAAATCTTCCAATCGATTAGAGGGTTCCATTGTCTCTTCAGCTACATAATTATTATCGCACCACGGACGCACACGGAACATAATTACGTAAAAACGTATCAAAAAAAGTAAAAAACTTATAAAGAACACTGAAAAAGTCACTACCAAACTAACTTGCGGTTCACTATTTGAAATTTGAATTTAACTGAACGCTGTAGCAGTTATGATTTTACTAAAAATATTCTTGTCTCCCAAAAATCTGTTGGTCATATCCACAATTTAAAAATAAAATATTATAAAAATTTGCCTACCTAAGTTTTCCCCGTCCCGTGCCTTCGGCACTGGACGGTCGAAACCTGATCCCTTATTTTATGACTCCGTAAGCTCAGTCAAATACTGATATAATCTTACCCCAAGTATGAATAAGTCTACCGACAAAAGATAATGCATTATGATTTGTCACAACAGCGATATCCGATGTTTTCATTGGCCGTTGACTTATCATAAGTTCGATGAAAACTTAATTGGTTAATTGTTCATATCTGGTTCATATTTTAAAAGATTATACCAGGCACGTCTGAATGTTAATATCGAGTGGAATCTGGAAACTTTTTATTATTATACGTCTGAGTCATTGATAATTTTACAGACTCCTGGTAGAGTACCTTTTTGTTGAATGATTTTATTACAGATATATATTTTTGCATAGTCTCACGGAAATACGAGGCTACTATACAGTATATTTCTTATACATTTTCTTGAGCATATCTTTGTTTTAATTATACTATGTTAATTGTTACTATGTACTTTAAACGCCTAAGTTTACATTTAATAACAAAAAAAGCTGTAGATATTATGAAACTGGGTGCGACACTAAAGTGTATTTTAGTTAAAAGTGAACATTAGTTAAGGTTTAGTTTAGGCTGTCATTATGAAATCTGGCTTTAATTTTTATTCTATACATTTTTTAATTTTCAAATTATTTCATATAAATATAATATATTAGTCCACTTTGCTGAACTGCAGTTGTACCAAATTCAGTGAAGCAATAGTATGATAAGGAAGTTTTTATTGTTCAAACATATTGATAATACTAATATTACATCAAAGCTGTCCGCCGGTTGCAACTGTCGATGATTGGATACTTGTATAAAAATTATGATGCACCGGAGGAATAAATTCCATCAGTTGAATATCAGTATAACCAATCTCAGTGACAGAGTTCTTTCGGTATCCGAGGTAGTCACGGTCCCAATTACCTCAGATAATCGCAAGTCTACTGTACAAAAAGCTTAATTTTGTATCAAATTACACAAGTGTGATTTTATTTTAATACAGTTTCCCAAATTCGACTAACTGTATCTATGCATACTATGCAATTCTAATATTATTATTAATATGAAAGATGATACTACATTCCCAGACGTCATAAATTTTAATTGCCTTACACTTACACCAGCAATCAGCTGGATGTGCTGATTAGGGATTTTTGTTACTTGACCTTGTATACCTACACAAAACGTTCATTCATTTGGAGGTATTTTATTACTCATATTTCAGGCGACAAGTCTGAATTATTTATCTACCCAAAAATATTTATTTCAAACTGAAAAGAAATTTGCAATTGTTTGAAAAACAGGTAAATAATGATCAAAAAGGGATTATGGTAATTGGATCGACTATTTATGTATAAAAACAGTATTTATAAGAAATCTAAAATATATAACATTAATTATTAATAATATATTTATAATAATTATTATAATATTATAATGTATAATAACAATTTTTTCATATCGAATGTCAACAGGGGAAGTGTTTTCCTCAGAAAATTTCAGATTTTCATCTCGTTTCTAATTATGACTCAAGTAAATATTAAAGTAAATATCAATAATCTTATTTTCTTCCGGAAATTAATCGACAAAATTTAATCGATCATTACATAATATTGTTTTGTCTATAAAAATTAAATTTGTTAAAAATTTAATAAAACGAATTGTTTTTATGTTTATATATTATGTAAAAACCAGTATAATCCCGCAATAAACTTTACTGACCATAGTTTGACTTTCAACCACGATTATATAACGTCAATATACTTGTATATTTAAGACATTGTTATACAATCATGATTGAACATAGAAACAAAGTCAAACGAAGCTACAATATTAACTAGTGGGAGGGGCCGCCTTGCTTACAAAACCACGTGATTCGTTACTATAGTTACTGCATAACTCATAGACAATTGGAATAACCACAAAACTAGTTTTCAATGTTTTGCAGATTTTTCTTAAATTCGGCAAACGCGCATCTATCGCTATTTAATACATCAGTGCTGCCTTCTACTAAATGACACGTGAACTTATTTTCTCATCTGTTAAGTGATAGCTGAACTAATTTCTCACTATCAAAATGCCAACTTATTACAGTAACATCAACAAAATCCCTAGTTTGCAGCTTTTAATTATAATTTTATCTTTAGGTACAGTTAATTTAAAAATTACGGCAGTATGGATAACAAACATTTGCTTAAAATAAAGGTTTTTGGATAGTTAATCATTTAAAGTAGTTATTTTGCACCTAAGTTCAATAATTATTTCACAATACCAATTTTTAGGCACGTTACCACGTAAGTTATGACATGGATGCATTTAAGTACAGTTATGAAAAAAATACTGCTGTTTTTGAAAATGTTAACTAGATATCATTAAAATAGAAAGTTTACAGTTTACGTACATAATCATAACTTGAAGATCTGTTTTGAAATAGTGACGATAACTGTACCTAAAAAGTATATAAATTTTAACATTGTGACATACCACCATAAATGGATTTTTTTCTTGAATTTTGTATTACGGAGTGCCAGTCAGTAGGTACGAAAATATGGGGATGAAAATCTTGGTCACATGGTAAATAAGAGTGGCCACTCATCAAAAATTTATGATGTATTTCATCCACTGTGTATTCTGGAGAGCAAGTAATATAATTGCACAGTACTGACATCTTTATATTCCGGTTTTGGCCGCCACATTGATCGGAGTACATTATGACTGTTCTTGAAGTGACGAAATTTTTAAAGTAATACAAAATGCAAGACCCTATTTCTTGAGGTCCTCTTGAAGCCACTGTTTCATTCCAAGTGAACATATACAAGTTATTAATACCCATATCTTGATTACTGAAACAGTAGATCCACAACTGTCTTTTATAGTAACAAATTCCAGTTGTTAATACTGGGGTGGGTAGAGTTTTCATCAAATCGAAACATATAACTGAAACTCCACTTTTTGTAAGATCGGTGTCACGATTTAGATCATCTCTAGCACTCTTGGCTTTCCTTTGATGTAACTCATTTTCATGTTCTAACTGTATCTTCTGTTCCTCATTTGCAGCTTTAAGCTTTATATTGAATACATCTCATTTCTTAGATGAATCACTAATGGGTGGATGAAAATGTAGATTGAATTGAGTATTAAAAATGCTACCAAAAATGTAATATGATACAGGATTCTCCGTTTCCATCTTATACAGCTCATAGAGTTCTCTCATACTCAAATCGGGTGATAAATATTTTCTGTGGCTACTTTTTTCTCTACAATGATGTAATTCATAGCTTGGAATCTTTTGAATAAATAGTTTTACTTCAGTCTCCTTTTCGGTTGTTGTCTTATTGCCTGGAGGATACAGGCAATGTCTGCCCAGTCTACCAGCAGACACTTGCAACACAGCTTGAAAAAAAATATTTGCAAACCTTTTGATCTTCTCCGTTTTCATTTGGTAAAATATAAAACCTCGTTTTCTCTCTTCTGGAATTTTGGTTGGAAGTATATGTACGTAATTTATTTTGAACTTTGATTAAAGAATATAAGTAAGATATTTGCAAATCGAACGTACCCAGAGAATAGAAATGTGTATGCAAATCTCTTTGACGATCATGTGAAATTAAACTTGTACATTTGAGTTTACAGCTGCAGTCAACAGCGTTGAATGTTTTGGCTTTAACAGTTTTATTCAATTTGGTTTTATACTCCATACCAGAACACCGTTTAAATTTGTTAGAGTTCCTTTGCCATGTTTCAGTTTTACGAACTCCCTTATTAGGTTTGAACTGCTTCGATGTCGTTGGTGTATTCTCTGTGACGGGCAATTCCATTTCATCATCAGTAGGCACGTACTACGATCCGGAATCTTGATATGGTTCCGACTTTGACGATTCTGTAATGAAAAGATAATCTAGATAATTACTTTCAGTCAGTGCAATAGTGGACTAAGCCACAAAATGAATATAAACAACCTACAAAACAAATGGTTTTAGGTATAGCCTTATTTCTATTTATTTCTTACTTAATAATAAAATAATAAATGCTATTACCCACCTTCGATAGAGCTCATTTTACTTAAGATATTTACGTTCACAATGAATCTGCAATTTGCACAATATTCAGATCTTAACGTAATCCACAGTATTCTCACGCAGGAAAACAGTAAAAGAGCACTACACCATACAGAAATGCAAAGTGGACTAAGCGCACGTAGTCCACTTTGCATTTCTAAGATCGTGAAATAAATTAAACGCTAAAAGTAGTATAATGCTGCCATCTAACAATCAAGTACTGAAGGTGTCTTGGTCCACTCTGCATTCGATAGATGTTTGTTTTACCGATTGAATGGTACATTAAAATTAAAACTGGCAATTTGTGGTTTAGTCCACTATGCTTCTAGTAGCCTCAATTATCAGTTCAAAAATTGACTGGTGTGAATTGAAAAGTGTGACAAAAAGAGCTACTAGTAAAACAATTTATGATTAATATTTATACTTTGGAACAGATTTCTAAATCAACAAATATTAAATATGGTTTTTTACGAAATAGTAGTCATAGTAAACAATTGGAAGAGTCTATTTACGTCACGAGGAGTGACCGTTATAAACATTTTTAATTTTATTAAGATCTATAAAAATAATAAATAAATACTAAAATTACTGTATTAAATTTTAAACATATTATTTAAATTTTAACAATACAGAAAACAGTATGAAGCTTAGCGCTAGTCTACATCTATTATAAAATTCACACTTACCAGTAGATAATCCATATACAACCGTTTTTGTTCATCAGAAAGTGAACAGAACAACACTTGTTCGGTTTTATTTGGTAGCGAAATGTGATGTTGCACCTCGTTTTTTGTTCTTCTCAGCAAATAGGGAGTTATAAGATCTTTTAAGGTGCTAGCTACTGACAACGCTGTGGCTTCCTACAATGATTTTAATTTTTGTTAGATTTACATAGACAACAGTTAAAAATATTTTAGTGTTCATTGAAATGAAAAGTATCATTCGACTATCAAACATAATAGCACTATACCGACAGGGCCGATCCTAGCAAAAATTTCCACTTCGGAAATCTTCCTCAAGATACAAACATTAATAATTTATTACAAGTTCATAAAATCACAGTTCATTGAAAAATCAAAATACTGAAGTCCCATTTTTTCGATAGCATATTTTAAGAAATAAAATTGTAATACAAAATGTGTCAGCCATTATTGTCTACTGTTTACATACATTGACATATTCCTCATTTAATAGCAAAATTCGTGGCAGAGGCAGCAAAAGGTTTTTTACTTAAAAGCGATACAAACGTTGGCTTATTCATATACCACTTATGCTTATTATATATTACGCTTTGTAAATTTGAACTTAAAAATTATGTCGGCAAAATTAAAGGAATGCAGCATCGGCATTTTTCTGCGACCAGTATATAAAATTATTATTTTTATTGGCAATAAGCCACAATTTAAGTTTAAAATAAGTTTATTTTCAAAAGTTTCAGTTAAAAATACAAACATTAATAAATGAAACAAATTTTATTTTCTTTACTTGGTGAAAAATTCTTCTAATAATTTAATTTTATCTGACTCATTCATATTGACAATTCAGACATATATATCGCGTTTGGTCACACTCAAGCATAAAAAGTGTCATGAAGATATTTCAATTGAGTATTTGAAGTGTCACAGCAACAAGCAGAATTTTGGGCAGTTTTATAACCATGAATGAAACATGGGTCTATCACTTTATACCCAAGGAAAAAGAACAATCAAAACAAAACAAAGCAAACAAAAGATCATAGCATCGCGTGGGTATGCGCGTGGGATAATTTTCATTGACTATCTGGAAAAAGGAAAAATTATCAACAGCGAGTATTATGCGACCTTACTGCAATGTTTGAGAGAAGCAATCAAACAAAAAGAGCTGCATTTGGCAAAGAAGAAAGTGTTGTTTCAATACAATACACCAGCTCATATATCCATTATTGCAATGGCCAAAGTTAAATTTGAATTGCTACATCATGCTCCCTATTCACGAGATTTAGCTCCCTCAGATTACATTTCGTTCACAAACTTGACAAAATGGCTCAGTGGAAGTAAATGGCTATTTTGGGGAGCAAGACAATTCTTATTATAAAAAAGGGTATCGAACTTATTGAACATTGCTGTGAAAAGTGAATAGAGCTAAAAGGAGATTATGTTGAAAAATAAATACACTTTTTTCCAAAATTTTTGTATTTTCTTTGTTGGGTCGGATACTTCTGGCACCACCCACATACATATAAAGTTTATTAATTTTGTTATTTTGCGAATGAGTGTATTTAGAAATATTGTGGGCATTTTTATTTGTTTGTTTAAGAAGAAAAACAAACCTGCATAGGCGTGGAATTTGTAAAACCTCCTTGTAGAATGGGCCCTGAAAAATGCTCTTGGAATGTCTTCATATTCCCTAACATTCCTGGATTTGTGTAATCAAACAGACTCCATAGTTCTGTCAGATCGTTCTGCATTGGACTTCCAGTCAACATAATCCGGTGAGGTGTTCTAAACAATTTAATTGCTACAGTGGCTTTAGCATTTGGGTTTCGGATTTTATGTCCTTCATCAAGAATTACATAATGCCAGTTATAGTCCAAAAGTTGTGTTTGGTATTTGATAATCGCTAGATACGTGGTTATAATAACTCCTTTTGTTTTATGCATGTCTTTGATAAACACTGTTTTGTTTCCTACGAAAAAATAAAAAATACATTTTAAACATTATTTGTTACAAATTGTTACATTTTTTGACAAATTGCAACAGTGGCAAAATTATGCCATAGCAATATTTCAGTGTTTTCATAAAGTTGTCACTATTCTTCAATATGTATTATATCTATATTACAACTTCTATTATTAAAAATCAAAAAAGCATGAGGAGTAATTAATGGCAAAAGTTATCAAATGGAAACAGATGGTTATAATTTATAATTGCTTTTTGTTTTAGCCAAACCAGCACAGAAATTACTAATATACAGTGAAAGAATAGACTAAATTCACAGTGTTACATTACAAGATATATTGTTCTATATTTCTTTCTGGGTATGCCAAACCTGGATATAATTTATTTTGATATTTAAAGAATTTAGGATCTATTTAAGATATAAATTTAAATTTTAGGATAACTCACCTTGGTAACTGCCAGATTGATGCAGCACACCTACTCTGAACTCTGGTGCCCAATCATGAAAATGTTTTACCCACTGGTGTATAACTGTTGCTGGACACACTATTATAGATGGCCCCAATCCATTAAACCTATAATATTGATTAACTTTGTTTAAATTATTGCCTCATCATCTTTAGAAAGAACACTCAATCTCAGAATAATCCAACTAGATAATAATGCTAGAATTAGCTCACCTGGCTCAGACACTAATGAAAAAAATAAATCTATAAAAATATTTAGTACATGTATTATAGAGGGTTCAAAAAATAGATTAGGAAAGGCCAATTGTTTTTTTTATACAATTATACAAAATATATTAATAAATTCAAAATATACCCCTTACCTGCCATGACAAGAACTGATTCTGCTGTGCTCTAAAGACAATAGAAAAGCAATGATTTGTACAGTTTTTCCCAAACCCATTTCATCTCCTAATAAACCTCCTGTAGCCTTTTGATGTATTTTCCACAACCATTTTATAGAATCTTGCTGATATCTGCAAAATTTTAATGTCAATCCAAAATTAACAACCATTAATAACTACATTATTTACTTGTATAGTTTATTCCAAACCTTCATTGGTACCTTTAAACCACCCTTAAAACAATAGTCCTCATCCTCATTCTCATCTTCATCTTCTATCTCTATTCTCTCTGACATTTCATCTTGTAGGCCTTTGTAATACTTATCAAGCCTTGACCTATAATTCTCCCAAACTGCATCATCTATAACTTTTTGTAAATGATTCTGAGTTCTTTTTCTTTTGCTTTTAGGTTTATTATGAATTACTAAGTCATTTGTAGGATCTGTTTGAGAATTATGGCCCTCTTCATAATCACTATCTAAAAACAAAAAAAATGTATATTAACAGGGGAATCACGTGCTTCCCAGTGTGATGGGTAATTAGGAGTGGTCAGGCAGATCAGAAATTACTTAGTTTAGAACATCAATGATAAGAAAGACAATGAAAAGATGTGAAGCCTTTAATTGTGTACTAATTTACAGAGGTAGAAATTTGCGGAAGAATACTGCACATAACTGAAATATTGACTGAAAATAATTTATTCAAGCAGTCCTATTTTAGTGCTTTTACTATAAGGATTATAAGATAATAAAGTCTATAGACATATCCGGTTTCACAATCTGGCAACAAGAAATGATAAAATCCAAATAAGTCGCTATATGCCACATGCATGATAGTTTCATGGTAAATTGTAAAACAATTTTTTTCCAAAATACCAAAGCTTAGCCACTTTTTATAATTCTTAATTTTACAGAATACTGACAGCAAAGAAAATTTGCTTGAAAGTTATTATTTTTTATGATAAAGAATAATAGTGTAAAATTTTAGTCAATTTAATGAGAAATGTGTTAAGATAGCTCACCAGCGCTGGAATAAGGATTTATTATTCTCGTCAAATGTCCAAAGTCAAAAGGCAAGCATCAAAAGTAAGTGGTTGCCTCCGAGAAACCATATGGAGAAACAAATATCTGACCACGGAAAGCAAAATGAAATTATACAAGAGAACAGTAAAACCAATCCTAACATATGCAGCGGAGACAAGGACCGATACAAGAAAGACGAAACAACAAATTAACAATATTGAAATGAAAATATTAAGATCAATAGCGGGCATATCATTAAGAGACAAACAAATCAACAGAAGTATATGCGAACTATGCAAAGTTCAAAATATTAACAGGTGGATAAAAACAAGAAAAAAAAACTGGAATGAACATGTAAACTGAATGGGACCAGATAGATTAGTGAAAATCTGTAAAAACAACAAACCATATAGCAGAAGACCCATAGGAAGGCCGCCAAAAAGGTGGAAAGATAATGTACAGTCAACAATGACTTAACAGAATAAGAGGCAGACAAACAGGAATAATCCTAATAGCACGAAGAAGAAGTCAAATGTCCTTGAACTAAAAAGATTTCTTTGAAATGAAAAACTATCATTAAAAAAATTGAGTAAGTATAACATAGAATCATATATTAAGAACTACTTATAATTGTTATTCTTATTTAATATGTCTTATATTATATATTTCGTTAAATAATGCATTTCTATTAAGTTAATCATATATTACCATATTCTCCATCAGATGGAATGTATTCACTACCAGAATTATCTTCCTTATAAACCTCTACATCATTTTTAAGAATTTCTGTACCATTCTCACTTAATGGTACATTACTAATTTCATCATCATTACAGGATCTACTAAGTTTATCTATTATTTCCTTTTTAACAATGCTACGTTTCTTTATAATCTTATTTTCCCTATTTAATGATTTTTTAAAATCTTGTCTTTTCTTTAAATCCTCTTGTCTTTTTATGTAAGCTGCAAGATCAAGACTAGGAGTTATTTTTTCAACTTCATCTTCTATTTCCCCATCTTCTAAAACAGTACTTCCAGTTGGCGCTTCATTCTGTTGATTAGCAAAAACTTTTAATTCGTTTAAAGCTTGCTCCTCTAAAACTGATTGATCTTCAGACCAAATGTTTACATTTGCCTCCAAAAGTATTTCATGTAATTCATCCTAAAATCGTAAAAACAAAAAATGTTTTAATTTTATGTTTTATTTATAAAAAATTTAGACGTACTTGATTATTCATTGTGAATATTGTTTTTTTACTTTTAGCCCCTTTTTTCACCTGTAAATTAACATGTGCTACCTTTATCTTTATGAGTATTTTTTTTTTGTTTGCTTTTTGCTTTTATCCCCTACCCCTCTACCACAGAACAATAATCGCTTTCGTATGTCCGATAGTCGATAGAAAGATTTGAGAGAGAGTTTCTAGCTCCAAATGCGGACGGGCCGAAACTAATTTCATTTGACAGCAAATTTAAAATATACTGGGATGACTGGGTGACACTGACACTAGTGTGTATTCTGTGCTTATATGCTGTGCACAGGAAAAGAAACTGTAAAGCACAGATTATAAGACAAGACAAGCTGTAAAGTAAATAATTCGCTGTGAGCTTCGCCGGTAGCGCTATCTCGCGGTTTGAAACTTGTACTTTTCTTGTAAAATTGGTGTAAGTGAAATATGACAAAACGAGAAAAATAGATATTTATCTAAAAATACAAAATTATAAACTAAAATATTATTGTAAACTGATTACTGAACGAATATACAGAATTAATAGTAAAAGTAATTACGCCTTTTTATTTTATTCATTATAATTTTAATATTTAAGATAGAAGTTCCTACGACTGGATGACTACTTACGTAATAGGCCATGGAGAAAAAGAAGAAGTTTATGTGAAAATATTTAATGGTTAAAGTCTGTAGTAACCATGATACTAAAGAAGGTAAGATAACGCATAAGTCGTGACGTCATTAGAGAGTTGCAAGTTCGAAATGTCAGTTTTTTGTGTGTATCAATAAATAATCTTTAATAAATAGTTTGGAGATATCCTTATGTGTACGATTATTGTAATTATTAAACCTCTTAACTTATTTTCGTCTAGTAATTTCATCACAGAATGCATACAAATCCCATTTAACTTTAACAAGAATTCAAATTCTAATCTCCAATGACGGCATGCGTGAACAAGACCGATTTTGTGCTACGGGAAGATTCTATCTTGTTAGTCATAGTATCATGCTTGTAACGTTGTAATTCTTGTTTTCATTTTGCATTTTCATTCTGTTTTTGCTCAGTTATTTTTTGTGTGCGTAGGCCTTAGTGCTAAGATATCAATTTATTTTAATTTTATCAAAATGGATATTAAACATTATACTGGTTTTAAGTCTATATCACATGATATCCAATTTTAACCAGCTACACCAAAAATCTTATTGATAGCAATAATCCATTTTTCTCTTTGAACTACATATTTTATGCTTGGCAATAGGAAATGAATAAAATTTACAATCACTTATACCCAGTATTTTTACTTGTATCAATACAACAGCTGCTATATCTTTTTCTTTTTGAAAAATCCATATTCATCATTATTTGAATGTTTACAAGTTAAATGCACAAAACTGCCACTAACAGCGTTCGTGAAAACTGTCAAATCCCCTCTACTCATCGGCTCACAGCGAATAGGAAAAAATTATATCGGCAACACCGCGTCGTCACTTTGTTCACATCATGATACTCATGGTTCACATGTTGTTCACTTTTTTTAAGGTTAAGGAGTTAAAATAAAAGGGGTAACGTAAAACGATGGCCTAACTGTAATAACCCGTATCTGAAATAAGTGAATTTTACAGGAGAGACAAAATATGATTTTAAACAAAAAAAATGAATGAATAAATGAATGAAAAAAAGACTTTTTTCTTGACCTTAAAATGAATAATTTTATTTTTTAGTAAATAAAAGGTAAAAAAGTACATTTTGCAGTATTTTGAGTTTTTTTTGTGTAGATACGGGGTATTGTCAAAAATGTTGTAACATAAATTTTAGATACGGGTTTTTAGTATTAATTTAACAGGTAGTAAAAACAAAACAAAAATTGGTACAAAACAAGTTTATTAGAAGTTACAAACATAAATGTAAAGTAAAACAGTAAAAAAATATGTAACTAAAAATTAACCTTTTAATTAACCTTTAAAGGAAAATTAGGTTTAATAAATATTAACTTTCTAAAAACAAATAACTAAACTAAAAACTTTTAAGATATCTAACTAAATTTTGTTATCTTTGGGTAAATTGTTGTAAAACATATGACTGTCGGTAGGTAAAAGTACCTTAAGGTCTTGCAAATGAGTATACTTATCACTCTTTATACTTAGTCTTTGGTTGTGTAAGTTAGAGTACGACGACATTTCTAGGCCTTTGGGATTGACAGCCCGTACAGGCGTGTCTTAAAATCATCTTTGAAACTAGTTTTGAACAAAATTTGTTTTTTCTCTGGATCGTACATTAATACCCTGAGATCTGTGACGGTCGGATCATTCTTCATTTTTCCAGGTCGAATACTTCTTCGGCTGTGTGGGGCACGGCCAGTAAAGAATATCCCCACAGTTTTCTCCTGCTTGTCGTAAAAGGCGACTAAACGGAGAAGCGGTCCGTCTCTAGTCCGGTCGCGGCCGCTAATTCTTGTGAGGCGAGCGCGATGGGACAGGGTGGGGACTGCTTACCGAGGGAGGTGGGCGAGATTGGCACTCAGAGATGGGCGCTGAGTGCCACTGCCGTACACCAACCCCCGTGATGGATTAGCAGATCCCAGCTCGTTCATCATCATCCTTGCTGTTACCTATCCTCCATCCCGTTTTCTTACCGATCCTCAGGAGACAACCTGATGCAAAACAAAAAACCGATGGAGTAAACCAGCGAGAAAAAATCCGTTAAGTCAAGGCGTAAGAAACCGTGCTGAGGACTGAATGACCACACGACACGTGGTCCCAAACGGTTCCCTTGGGGTACCGGGCGACACCTCATTGTAAGTAGCCTTACTGCCGCAAGCGGGGCTATGCGACAGCTGACCGAATTTCCCTAGCTACTCGTGGGATCTAGATGAACCTAAATGAAATTATAAACATAATCGGGGGCGACCCGGGCGGAATCTCGGGAAGAACAGACAATAGTAGAAGCGAACCAAAAAGAAAAAGGGTTAATTCCCTTCCTGAATCACCGACCAGATCGTTAGCTGGAGAAAAAAGGAAAAAAAACCTATCCGAATCGGATACCGCACCCTATAAAAGGAAAGAATGCTGTGAGTATTTCTCGATTATGGAGGGTCTCACATCATATGAAAGACTAGTGAACGAACTATCTAAAACAATAAAAGACATCCCAAACACCCATAAGAGTATAAAGGACATAACTTCCCGTCTAAAGAAGACCTCACTTACTTTTAAAAAAGACCTAGTTGTGAACTGGCTCAACAAACACAAATACGAGCCAGTAGAAAATCTGACGATTGACACTGACACCCAAACTGACCCGTGGCATGGAGGCTCCCAGAAAAGAATCAGTAAATTAGATAATATCAACAGTTTTGAAACCTGGGAAGAAACGGCTAACCTGACATGGGATGACAAGGTATACAAGAGGACCAATGTAGTTATCGGTAATCCTATTACCACCGGAAACGACATCGTTAAGGTCGTCATGGTAGAACCAAACGACCCTCAAATGAGCAACAGTATTCAGAGGCTATATAGGGATAAATACCCAGAGTTGGCAGAACTTGAAGCAGATTATGAAGTACTCGAGCAAAGCACTACAATTAAATCAAAAGGGGCAAAGGAGACCAAAAAAATAATAAAAATTAAACAAAATGGGGACAGAAAACAAATCTGGGAAAAAATCAACATGGTGAAGGAAGAAGTGGGTCAACAAGGTAAGGTCGCTCTCCACCATGTTAATGCCATGTCGGTAGATGAACTCCGGAAAATGTGTGAAATAATTTTCCAAAAAACAGAGGTGACTGTAAACATCCATACTACGAACAAACGGAAGGAGAGGGCCACATACGGTATGATTGTTACCAAAAAAGATGCCGCTTATAAGGACATACTACAGACTGTGAAAACAGCTGTAAAGTCAACTGGCGCAGCAGAGGCCGTACACTCGCTCAGAAGCACAAAAGAGGGAAAACTTCTCATCACCATGGAGAAAGACCAAGCAGCACTACAAAAAATAAAAACTGCCCTTGGAACAACAGAGGAAGGTCTCAGAGCATTCCAAATAGGAGAAGAACACATAACGGAAACCATACATATAAGAGGCATGGCAGAGGATGCCACGACGGAGGAGGTTATCGAGGCATTCCAAGAGCAAATAGGTAAGTGGGAAGACCACTACAAGATAGGAAAGATGCGACCACTGAGGGGCAACACCCTTGCCACAACAATTGTCATCCCGGCGAGAGTAGCTAAAATACTTTTGCGCAGAGATTTTCTCAGAGTTGGGGTATGTAGATGCAGAGTCGAGAAAAGACTAAAAATAAAAAGATGTAGCAGATGTTGGGCATACACGCATGACACCGATAAATGTCGAGGCCCTGATAGGAGTGGTATGTGTTACCGTTGCGGTAAATCAGAGCACGAAGCAGAGAAGTGTCAAGAGGAAGAAAGGTGCGTTCTTTGTAATGACGCCCATAGAACTGGCAGCATGGACTGCACACATTTTAAGAAGGCCCTTCAGGAGGCGAGATATCATGAGAAACTTAGAAAACAGCAAGGAGAATACGCGGATGTCTTCCCTCCTACGCTCACTCCCATACCTCCTTTCCCTTCTCCAAACAAGGTTCATGTTAACTCCCATTTGGAGTCCTCCAAATCTCTGTGCGACGAAGCTACAGCTACCTTTAGTGTAGTGACGTTGTCACAGGGAGTTCTGACAACTTCAGTCTAAGTGCCTGTTCCGTCATCCTATGTGACCTTTAACACATGATACTAAGGTAATGATTTCAAAATGGCTTTAACCGGGTTAAAAAGACTAAAAATTCTACAAGTGAACATCGGAAGAGCCAAGGTTGCACATGATCTGATTCATGCGAAAGCCCTCGAAATTGGAGCAGATATTCTAATAGTACCTGAACCAAACAAGAGAATCATCCAAAATAGCAGATGGATTACAGACAACAGGGAAGATGTAGCAATATACCCCATAAATCATAAAGTGTGCATAAATAAGATTATAAAAGGGGAGGGGCACGTACTAATCAAATTAGAAAAAGTAGCTATTATTGCCTGTTATATCTCACCCAACATAGGTAGAGATCAATACAAACAGCATATTGAATCCATAATACAAATGTCACATATAGAAAAGAATTTTA